CCTCATTCAACAACTCCTCAAAGTATTCCTTCCATCTTCTCGGCACACTTTCCTCACTTGTGATCACGTTCCCTTCTCCGTCCTTAATCAACCTCACCTGCTGCACAGTCCTTCCCAGCTTGATTTCTCTGTCTCGCCAATCTTTACAACTCCTTTTCTCCTTCCTTTGTTTCCAAACCTTGGCCACTTCCCTCTTCACCTCCCCCTGTCCTCTCTTTGTACTCCATCAGTCTGTTCTCTTCTGTTCTGTCACTGTCCAATCTCTTCTTTGGCAATCCCTTTCTCTGCACACTCTCCTGGACCTCATCATGCCACCAACAGGTCTCTTTGTCCTCCCAATCATCTGGGAATTCTTCAACACGGCCCAGAACTGCTCTTCCTTCCTTCCTGAAGTCTTCACAACATGTCTCTTTTCTTTAGTTTCCACCACTGGATCTTCTGCTCCGTCTTCACTCTCTTCCTTTTCGTCATCTTGTTGGCTACACTCTCGCTTGCCACCACCTTACAGTCTCTAATCTCCCTCAGATTACCTCTTCTACATAGAATATAATCTATCTGTGTGGACCTGCCTCCACTCTTGTACATCACCCTGTGTTCCTCTTGCTTTTGGAAATAGGTGTTTACCACCGCCATTTCCGTTCTCTTTGCGAAATCTACCACTGCCCATCACTTCCTCATCTCCTCTGTTCCCTTCCCCTACATGACCATTAAAGTCAAATTAAATTAAATTCATTTTTAAATAAAGGTATTATTATTGTTGTATTTATAATAATCACTACTTACTACTCTGGTTCTAGTTTATTTGGGATCAGTTTGTGTTGATTTCTCAAGGGGTTAAAACCAATGTATAATAATCACTACTTACTAGTTTATTTGGGATCAGTGTGTTGATTTCTCAAGGGGTTAAAACCCAGTTGTGTTTGTGCTGTATAAAAAAAATAAATTAAAAAAAATTGGAGAAAATATGCACTGCAAATTTAGTATCAAATTCCAAAACATCACGCTTCGTAATACTGAACCTTTTCTATGTCTCTTACGTCTGTTAAATGTACTATTATTATTGAACATTTTCTTGACTTGGCAGGTATGGATTTGGCAATGCAGGAAACGAAAAGTTCAACATCAAAGGCGGAGCTACACTGCAGTACAAAATCAAGCTGGCAGCGTTTGAGAAGGTGAACATCCGTTATATGCTGTGAAATGAATTGATTTCGGTGCACAATTTGAATTTGATACTGCAAAGATTCATTCCTGAAAATGTTTTCTTTAGGCCAAGGAGTCGTGGGAATTGAACACAGGCGAGAAGCTAGAGCAGAGTAGCATTGTTAAAGAGAAAGGAACGCAGTATTTTAAGGTAGAGTAAATATGGAATTTTCAATTTTTTTTTATTTTCCCCCCTGTAATATGTGATGTCATTTTAAAACCTATATGTTTTTTTTGTTGTGTTTCTCAGGTGGGAAAGTACAAGCTGGCGTCACTCCAGTACAAAAGGATTGTATCGTGGCTGGAACACGAGTCTGATTTATCGGAAGAAGATGAAAAGAAAGCAAAAGCCTTACGACTGGCTGCGCATTTGAACTTGGCTGCGTGCTTCCTGAAAGTGCATGAGCCGAGCCTAGCCCTGGAGAACTGTGAAAAGGTAATAAATATGTGGGATTCATTTGACAAGTAATCAGTCATTACTCTAGTGAATTTGAGATGGGACAAGGGACTTTGCATTACTTTAAAGAAGAAATGAAATAAATAACATTTTCAGAGTGGTTATTTCATTTCTTCTTCGAAGTAATGCAAAGCAGATGTACACTAAAAAAAAAAAAATTATATTTATTATTAAATGCATGTTCATGCTGTGCATATATCCGATAAACTGGACACGGGGTAAAACTATTTTCAGCTGCCCTTTCTTAGAGGTTTTTTCAGATTAACACGTAGGTATAGGTGAAAAAAAAATTAACATCAGGACAAGGAATGAGATTTTATAAGAAGGAAAATACTTTGATTAGCAAGAAAAAAAAAAGCAATAACTGGTTATAGTTACAGATGGGTTATTTTTCCTCTGAAACGGTCTCATTCAAACTGAATGTGTTTTAGCTTTTACAAAAAAGGCAAAGAGTGAGAGAAACGATCATCAACAAATCTGGCTCGAGATCCCAGTTTAATGACGAAGACCAAATTTGAATTTAAGGATTTTATAGTCGTATTATTTTTTTATACAAAAAGCAATAAGTAATGTATCTATTATCTATTGCTTTTTTTGTTTAAAAAAATAACGTTCGGCGTTCATCCAACCGATGCTGTCCAGGCCTTGATAAAAAAATGTTTCAAAAAAGTTTGCCTGACCCACTTTTAAAATTAGTTTGTTTTTTTTAATGGTAAAACTGAACAATTTCAAAATTAAAATGCTATAATGCTTCTGATTTTAGGCTCTGGAGTTGGATGCTTCCAATGAAAAGGCCTTGTTCCGAAGGGGTGAGGCACTGTTTGGTATGAAGGAGTTTGAGAGGGCAAGAAATGACTTCCAGCAAGTTGTTCAACTGTATCCCGCAAACAAGGCTGCCAAAAGCCAGGTATTTAGCATTTCGAATGTTGCCTCAAATAATCAACACCCCATGTCAAGGTGTGCATAACCTGTATGCGATAAATAGAAGATCGCGGCAGCGTTGAAGCAGTAAAGTTTCGGTATCTTCCTTCTCTTCTTTAGCAAATAAATCTGACCCTAAACCCACTCCAATAAGCAGAGGTGTGGACTCGAGTCGCATGAATATATTCGGGGTATATGTCTATGTACCACACACAGTGGAACCTCAAGATTTGAGTTTAATCCGTTCCACAACAGCACTCGTATGTTGATAGAATTTTCCCCATTAGTAATAACTAAAAATTCGTTCCAGGCCCCCAGAAATATATTTATTGATTAAATTGAAGTTTAAAATATATAAAATAGTAATAATAGGGGGCTTTGTGTGTTCTTCAGCACGTACGTACGTACGTGCTGTCGACACAACATCCAATCAAATCAGACCCACGTTGTTTTGACGCGATTGCATCCAGTCAGATTGCGGGACGACTGATGTGGAAGAGCTGTCAAACAACGCACGGGTGAGAGAAAAATGATACCAAAGATGGTGTTGTTCGGATTTAAAAACTACAAGGTGGTCAACAAAAAAACGAGCGGCAGTGATCTGTGTAAATATATTATTAGTTTCCTTAAAAGGACTCGAAAGGACTCGAAACAGAAACCGCAAGACTCGGGACTTGACACGACACTTTTCGGTCTTGACTTGGACCCGACTCGGATTTCGCCTGTCTTGACTTGAGACTTAACTCGGACTCAAGTGCAAAGACTTGAGACTTACTTGTGACTTGCAAAGCAATGACTTGGTCCCACCTCTGCCAATAAGTGGAAAAAAATGATAAAAACAACCTAAACTTTGAAGCACCCTGACCAATATGTGTACATACAGTATAGTATGTCTGAAAATGTGTCTATATTAGAGCTGTAATTTCCCAGTTGACTGATCATTTTATTGATATCGATACGATCTAGCTGATTCTAATTGGTTGATTTCATCAGGAGGAAAGTTGTGTCTTTATTTGCTCCCTACTGAGAGCCCTTGTCGAAATTTCAATAAACCCTAGCTATTCTAACGTCTTGTGTACAAGTGGGGATTGTACACAAGAGGAGTGTTGTGGGGAACTCCTGTGCGTTTCGTTGATTAATAAAGTCCTGGCTAGTGATGTGCGGATCGATCCTGAAATATCGATACTTCCGATTCTGGATCTTTATGCTCTGAAATCGATTCTGAAATCAAAATATCGGTACTTTTGATACTTACGCATTCTGAGATGAGGTGTATCCTAAACAGAAACATGGTGAAAAGTATCCAAAATGATTGAGATGTTGTCTAAGTGACGCTCGGTTGGTGGGACTACTTCTTCTTCCGCCTGGGTGTGTGCGTCATGCGTAAGCACAGGAGGCTCTACTCCGTGCTCTCACTCAGTCACTATTGATGGGAATTTCGGCTCTTTTTTTTAGAGAACCGGTTCTTTTGGCTCGGTTCACTGAAAAAATCCGACTCTTTCGGGTCCCAAATGGCTCCTCAGATTCTTTATTTTATTTTACAAATAACATGTTTTCAGAGTTTGAAACATTGTTTTGACATATTTTATATGATTGTGTTCTCAGGTTTTTCTATTGTTGTGTTGACTGTATAGTAAATGAGGCAGCTACCTCAGTACACTCCAGAGTTTAAAATAAATAAATAAACTCTGCCTTGGATTCTTAAAGAAGCTATGATTTGAAATACACTTTTTTTAATTTATTTAAAAGACAAATGATAAAATATCGGTATCGATATCCGTATCGGCGATACCACCCCGAATTTTACTCGGTATCGGATCGGAAAGGAAATTGGTGGTATCGAACATCACTAGTCCTGGCAGAGTTGTAGCAGAGCTACGTCGGCCCAATTAAAAAGGGACTGGACTTCTTTGTCTGAACATTTTGGACGTGGATCCTTGGGGGAGTTTTGGCCCGCACAAGCTTTCGCCAGTGTCAACTGACAAATTTTCACTGCAGCAAAATGAGCTGGGGAAGTTTGGTCGAAAAATAGAATAGAACGCGGCAGCGTTGAAGCAGTAAAGTTTCCATCAATGTATACAGGGTTCATTTAAGATATATTCAGTATATTCTGGGTATATATCTGTGTACTATGTGTGTACACACACATAGTACACACAGTGGAACCACAGTGGAAGAATTTTCCCCATTAGTAATAACTAAAAACGAATGAATTCGTTCCAGGCCCCCAGAAATATATTTATTGATTAAATTGAAGTTTAAAGTTTAAAATATATAAAATAGTAATAATAGGGGGCTTTGTGTGTTCTTGCGTAAACGGTCCTTCTGAGTGTTATGACTGTTGGTGAAGACAATACAAATATCAATTTAGGCTGATAAAATACCAGTGTGTGTGTGTATATATGTATGTGTGTATATTTATGTATGTGTGTGTATATAT